GCCAGGCATGGGGCACCGGGACACGGCAGGGGGAAAACAGACCAGAGCCCCTGCCCCCCTGCAGCTGACATTCTAGTGGTGAGGACAGCCAGGATACAAGACGAGGAAGTAAACAGCTGATCTAGCGGGTAGTGCTTGACACCAGGGAGAAAAATCTGGGAAAAGAGATTGAGAGGTGGAAGGAGGAGGCAACATTTGAGCAAGTAGCTGAGGGAGGTGAGGGAGGGAACCAGGTGGATGACTGGGAGATGGCGTTCAGGCGGAAAGAACAGCAGGTGCAAAGGCCCTGGGGCAGGACCCAGCCTGGCATTAGAGAAAAGGCAAAGAGGCCAGCATGGCAGGAGTAGCAGGAGCGAGGGGGAGATGGGGAGGAGGGGAGGGGGCAGGGGGGACCGGGCAGATCGTGCAGGGCCTGGTGGGCCTCAGGGAAGCCTGATGGGCCTCGGGGAGGCCTTGGGCTTTTACCTGCCCGGGGAGGACTGAGCACTGGAAGGATGTGTCAAAGAAGGGACAGGGTATGGCTGAGGTTATCCCAGGGTACGTGTCCTGCCCCCTTCTAGGGTTGTTGCAAGGATTAAGTGAGCGCGCCTAGCAGAGGGTGAGCGCTCCTCACGCTCAGCTGGTTATGTCCTCCTTGGTGATCCCTGTTTTTCCCCAGTCTGCGCCTCAGGCCCCCGGAGGACTGCCCGGGGTCCGCCAGGAGCGCGCAGCTGGCCCTGGCAGGGCCTGGACACCTGGGGCCGGACCCCCCTCCGCAGCCCGCGGTGTCGCCTTCCCGGGAGGCTCGGGTTCCCGGATCCCCTTACCCCAGCGGCTCGGCTGTCGCGCCCTGGGCCGGGGGAGGGGAGGCTGCAGGAAGCGGCGGATCCGGCGGCGACGGCGGTGGCGGTGGCCGGGGTGGCCCAGCTCCTCTCCGGCCATGGAGAGCGCCGCGGCCCAAGAGACCCGGGATGCCGAGGCCCCGCGCCCGTCCGCGCCCCCGCCCTCGCCCGCGGAGCCCCCAGCCGCGCCCCGAGCCCGTCCGCGCCTGGTCTTTCGCACGCAGCTGGCGCACGGCAGCCCCACGGGCAAGATCGAGGGCTTCACCAACGTCCGCGAGCTCTACGCCAAGATCGCCGAGGCCTTCGGGATCGCGCCCACAGAGGTGAGGACCCTCGCACCCCCGCTCCACCCCTCCAGGCGCCAGAGGCCCACCCATCTGACCCGGGATAGGGGTGGAGCCTGGAACCCGGGACTGGGGGCCCCGGATCCTCCCATCCTCGGATGGAGGGGATCCGATCACCAGATGTCAGAGACACACCTCTCAGATCCTGGGGTGCCCATGCCCCAGAGAACCTCTTCGCACGCCCTGCGCAAAAGGGGAGCCCGAGTTAGGGTGAGGGGATCCTTAGATTGTCCAGGAACCCACTGCGCTGAATCAGCTAACAGTGGATCCCAGCCCTCGGGTAAGCGCCCCTGTGGTTCCTGGGCGCGGTTGGGGGCTGGGGTTCCAGGCAGCCCCCTTCCAGGTGCGAAGTCGGAGGCCCGGGGTGGCGGGGGGGCGGGGGTCAGGGCCTGGACTGCTGGGCTGTACGACTCATAGCCCCCAGGGGGCGCCAGGAGATTCAGAATCGACTGAAAAAGTTGCTCTGGGATGTCAGGGCACCAACGGGTTAAAACTGAAAGTCTTAGGGGTGAGGGAGGGGGCTCTTCCTGCCCACAGCCCCCTTATTACCCTGCTCCCCATCCTGAGGGTCTCAGACTCCTTCTTGTACCCCACCCCATTCTGAGGGTCCCACGCCCCGCCTTTTCCGGTGGACTGGGATCCTGGTGGCTGGGTCACCAGGCCAGTTTCATGCCTCCTTGTGCCTCAGTTTCCCTCTCAGGCTCCTGAGCCCATCACCCCGGTTGTTCTGCACAGACAGAGGGCGATGAGCGCCGTCACTAATTCTGCATTCCCCCTCCCCTTGGGACAGATCTTATTCTGTACCCTAAACAGCCACAAAGTGGACATGCAGAAACTCCTGGGCGGCCAGATAGGGTTGGAGGACTTTATCTTTGCCCACGTGCGTGGCGAGACCAAGGAGGTGGAGGTCACTAAGACCGAAGATGCCCTGGGACTGACCATCACGGACAATGGGGCCGGCTACGCCTTCATCAAGGTGCCCCCGGAGGGCGGGTGACTACCTGCGTGCTCGGGGACCTGGGATGAGCCACTGCCCCTCTCTGGTTAACCTGGGCTCTGGGAAGCTGAGGAGGGTGTCTGGGGTGGCCTCGTGAGTGACTCTGGGTCCCTGCAGAGGATCAAGGAGGGCAGCATCATCAACCGGATCCAGGCTGTGTGCGTGGGCGACAGCATTGAGGCCATCAACGACCACTCCATCGTGGGCTGCCGCCACTACGAGGTAGCCAAGATGCTCCGGGAGCTGCCCAAGTCCCAGCCCTTCACTCTGCGCCTGGTGCAGCCCAAGAGAGCCTTCGGTGAGGGCCACCTGGGGCCCAGGGGGCCAGTGGGGTGGTGGTGAGGAGCTCTTCCAGAAGCGGGTTCTCTGGATGCCCAGTGAAGACGGTGGAGGATGGGAGCGGGGGTGGGCGTTGGGACAGGATGGAGGGTTCTAGATGCCTCTGGTGACATGACAGGGGGCTTCTGGCACTGTGTCAGGAATGCGTGGGTAGTTTCGAGGTTGTTCGAGTCAATCCAGGGATGGGGGCAGGGGAGTTTGGAAAGCTGGGGATAGGCTGAGGCCGTGTCTGGACCTATTTTGTAACCTGGCTAGGAGCTTTTAAAGTCCTGCTTTTAGGCTATGATTTTAGAGAATGTTTTTCCAAGTGAGTTCTAGAATGGTGCTTTAAAAGAAAAAACATTTTATTTATTTGAGAGAGAGAGAGAGAGAGAATGAGGGGTGGGGAGTGGCAGAGGGAGAAGCAGACTCCCCGCCGAGCAGGGAGCCCGATGCGGGGCTCGATCCCGGGACCCTGAGATCATGACCTGAGCCCAAGGCAGATGCCTAACGACTGAGCCACCCAGGCGCCCCTAGAATGGTGCTTTTCAAAGAGAAGTCTGTGACCTGTCCATGCATGAGACAAGGGACTTGCTCTCGAAGACGGTTTCTCCACCTCAGCAGTAGTGGTATCTGGGCCAGCTCATCTCTGCCATGGGGACCATCCTGTGCACCATAGGAGGCTGAGCAGCGCCCCTGGCTTTGACCCAGCAGATGCCAATGGCAACTGTCAGGTCGTAACAACCAAACTGTCTCCAGATATCATCAATGTCACCCGGGGGCAAAATCACCGGCCCCTGCCCCGGGGTTGAGAACCTCTGCGTTAGAATGTAGACCATCCTGTTTAGCAGCAGGTAGTTTTTTTACAGCACAACTTTCTCAAAGAAGGAACCAGCCTGTCGCTTTCCATTCCAGCACCACCCTCTTATTTAATTATGGACTGGCCCTTTGAGTAGCGCTGTTCTCCAGCAAGAGGTTCTAGAAACTCCCGGGCACGTCTGGAGGGAGGTCCCAGGGAGAATGGGACAGGGTGGGGTTCCAGATCTGCCCGTTAGCAGAGCAACGGGGGAGGACAGCCTCCGTAGGACTGAATTCTAGACAAAGTCTTTTCTAGATTGACCCTCTGGCTACAGGAGGATCTCAAGCAGTCCCTTCCAGAGAGAGTCATTTTAAAAACAGGAGGGACAGGGGTGTCTGGCCGGCTCAGTCTTTTAAGCGTCTGCCTTCGGCTCAGGTCATGATCCCAGGGTCCTGGGATCGAGCCCTGCATCGGGCTCCCTGCTCCGCGGGAAGCCTGCTTCTCCCTCTCCCACTCCCCCTGCTTGTGTTCCCTCTCTCACTGTGTCTCCCTGTCAAATAAATAAATAAAGTCTTCAAAAAAAAAACAAAACAGGAGGGACGGGGTCGTCTGGCCCGCTCAGCCAGGGGAGCACATGAACTCTTGATTTCATGGTCGTGAATTCGAGCCCCATGCTGGGAGTAGAGATTATTTAAAAAACATTTAAAAATAAAAATAAATAAAAAAGAGGAGGGTGATTTGGGGGGATTCTCAAGCTGGGTCTCTGAAGATTCACCCATGGACATAAGGGGGTTTTGAAGGATAAGAAGGTTCTAGAAAGGCTCAGCTGGTAAGCTCAGGCTTACACAGATGTGGATCCGCCCAGAACACATGCCCCTCCCCTGCTCTGTCCCCTCCAGATATGATCGGCCAGAGGAGCAGGGGCAGCAAATGCCCCATGGAAGCGAAAGTGACCAGTGGGAGGGAGACCCTGCGTCTTCGTTCTGGGGGAGCTGCGTCACTGGAGGAAGTGGTGAGTGAAGGGGAAGGGAGACCCTGAGTCTTTGTTCTGGGGGG